TGAAGAGGGTATGATATCACTTCCTCCCTTAGACTGAGCATCCTCCTGAAGGAGAGATCTGAGATATGAAATACTGCAGCTTATCTTTCTTGTAAGAGCCGTAATCTTAGATGACGGGATAATCACATTCAGGCAACATTATGTTAAAGGTTGGGAGGATGTGGAAATTGAATTCTGAAATGCAGCTGTGTAATGTGATTTGTGTGTCCATTAAGGCTGTGTGAAGTTGCCCTCGCTTCCTGAAGGAGAGATAACTGCCATAGAGGTCCACCGGGCGAACCCGTATGTTGAGCTGGGCATCAGCGTCGTTGGGGAAATGAGACGCCTCTCATCAACATCGTGATTCAGGAAGTGTACAGAGACGGGGTCATTGCACGAGATGGGCGGCTGCTGGCCGGGGATCAGATACTACAGGTGAAAGACTTGGTCAATTAAAAAAAAAGTATTGTTTTTATTGGTCTTCAAGGAAGATTTGACGTGATTTTACCAAACACACTAGCCCATTTTCATACAAGACCGGAGCTCCCAAAACTTCAGAGCTTCACTTTAACAATTACTGATTGTTTTATTCAAGATCCATTCTATTAGTAGCTGTTATGGCAGACAATAGTATCAGTATCAAGATATTATATGTTGGTATATTTTATTAGTAATTCACTTCGAAAAATGTACATTTCTGTGAGCAGAGTTTAAGGATATCTCACCTCACCTGAATCATTTCTTAATGTTTTTTCTTTAATAAAGAAAATCTGTTGGTAAAGTTTGTTGCTCTTTCTCCTAAATCAAATTTTGATTATTTTTCTACCTACTTAAAGCTGCTCTAATCAATATTATTTTTAATAATGGATCACAGAACTACTTCTATTTGAAAAATGCAGAGAAAATGATCACCAATTGTGCAGTTCCCCTCACCTCTAAGGTGCAAGTTAGCATCTTTGAGCTAATTGTTTTGGTTTTAAGGCCCACAACTTTACTGTTTTAGTTCACTCTAAATGCTTTCATTAACCTAATTTCCACCTGCCTGTTTTCAGCGAGGTAAGCTCAAATGAAGCAAATGTGTGCTACATGCCCACAACAAAAGGCAGACAGGAAAGGTTAGCCACTAGCTGGTAAGCATAGTGGAGCATTTAGCTGCTAAAGAGCCAATTTTTTTTCTCAGGAGTTGGTGGAGACCAAAACAAAGATGACCAGAGTAAGAAGACTCACCATGCTAATGTTGCTCTGTGTCAGCTGTATATCAACTTTATTGTGGTGTTTGCAGTTTGTTGTGCTGCCCCAAAAATAATTAATGACAACACATTATTGCCCAAACTTTCCTTTGACTCATCTTTATCCCAAGGTTAACAACGTGGACATAAGTAATGTCCCCCACAGTTTTGCCCGCTCTACACTGGCACGCCCCTGCACCACTTTACAGCTGACTGTGCTTAGGGAGCGCCGTTGTGCCTCCCGGCGCCTCCCTCCTCTTCCTCTTCCACACCGGCTGTGCCCCATGCCCCCTGCTCCACCCCTGAGGGCACCCCGTCCAGCCCTGCCACACTGAGAATCACCCTACACAAGAGGGACTCAACAGAGCAGCTCGGCATCAAGCTGGTACGGCGAACGGATGAGTCAGGAGTGTTTGTGTTGGATCTGTTGGAGGGAGGCCTGGCAGCGAAAGATGGCAGACTGCGGAGCAACGACCGTGTGTTGGCAGTCAACGACCAGGATCTACGCCACGGCACCCCAGAGGCTGCGCAGATCATACAGGTGAGGATGCACATGGTCATTCAGGCTAGATTTCTTTTGGTATTATTTAGAAGCAGAAACATGAACAACAGAAAAGAAAAGTGAGTGAGGAAAAGAAAATCTGTGTCTTATTAGGCCAGTGAGAGCGAGTCCATCTGCTCATTGGCCGACCCAGCAAACCAACTCCTCCTCCACCGCCAAAATCAAGCTCCACCAGAGACCTCTACTGCCTTGATCACTTCCTGCCTAACCACAGCTCTACCCCGAGTCCTGTGCCCATACACCTCTCACGCACCAGCACTCACAGAGTGAGTAGATGTGTGTGTGAATTAGTATGTTTGTACACATGTTAAGATTGTGTATTTGGGGGTATTTTGACATGTTTTTATTTATTTCAATATTTAATGACATGGGGATTTCAGATTTTAAAAATGATTTATAAAACATTAGTGTGGGGGGAAAAAAAATGTAATTTGGATTAAAAACTAAATTTCTTATTATAACTTTTAGGCACTCATCTGCATTTCCCACCTATTTTTCTCTTTACTTTTTATTAGTGGATGCATTTTGATGAGATGAAAATCAGTTTAAACCAAATGGCTCCATGAAAATCAGTAAACTGAAAACAATGATGTACAAAGAGTAAGTAGACTGAAGAACATTTACCTGTGAATGGACACATTTTCTGTTGTAGAGCCTGAAGCCGTGTGTGTGTGTATGTGTGATTATACCCAGGACCTTTCCAAGTGTGTACCTGTAAGAGAAACACATTACTGTGAAGAAGGAACCCCTTGAGTCTTTGGGCATGACTGTCGCAGGAGGGCGGGGCAGTAAGAGCGGGAGCTGCCAATCTTTGTGACCAGCGTCCAACCACATGGCTGCTTGTCGAGGGATGGACGAATCAAACGAGGTGAACGCTGCATCTGGAACGACAATAACAGGAACATTTCAGCCAAATCAAAAGCATTACATCAGAAACTACAGCACCTTCTTCCTCTCCTCCTTTAGGTGACATCCTGCTGAGCATCAATGGGAGGACTTAACGTACCTCAGCCACAGTGAGGCTGTGGGCACCCTGAAGGCCAGTGCCGCCTCACCTTCAGTCCAGCTGCGGGTGCTGGAGGTCAGCATGTTGGAAGAGCCCGACCATGATGAGCTGCTGCCTCACACACATGACAGCGACTTTGATGCCAACTGGTCCCCCTCGTGGGTCATGTGGCTGGGCTTACCCAGGTGAGCACACAGAGGAGAGGAAGGATGACGGAGGCACACATTTGCCTTTAATATATATAGCTCTGAATTTAGATGTGGCGGGTTAGGGTTGATTTTAGAAATTTCTTGAAACATGTTTAGAAACAGGTGAAATTATCCCACTGGCATTTTCCACTACTTTTAATATATTTGAAAGACTAAGATTTTCAATACGCATTTTTTTTAAACTGAAGCAGCATCTTTGGTCCTTTGATGATGCAGCAGATCTATACTATCTGTCCAGCCTCCCTTCACTCTGCTCTCTTCTTTTCTTGCAGCTACCTGCACAGTAGTCACGAGATCGTACTGCGGAGGAGCCACCCAGGCAGCTGGGGCTTCAGCATCGTTGGGGGATACGAGGAAAGCCACGGCAACCAGGCCTTCTTTATCAAGACCATTGTCCTCGGCACACCTGCGTACTACGACGGGCGCCTCAAGTGATCAGTTGCTCTTCATGTGACTATCTGTGGCTTATGTTAGCAGTGGCATAGTGGTGAATTGGCAGGTAGAGAAACTGTGACCTTTGAAATTTTAGGACATGTCCCAAAGATAGCAGTTTGTTAAATTTAGGTTGCCACAAATGAACTGGATTAAATTAAATTTCACGAGGATTTTCTGCCCTGGCTCTTCCTTTCTTTTTAAACATAGGTAATTCTTTCTAAAATAAAGGATACGTCTATGGAATTTGTCAATAAACAGACCAAAACCAAAATTACTGAACTAAGAACTGTTTAAGTTTGATAATCAAACAATTTCCCCAGAGTCCAAGTGACATCCACAAATAGCTTGTTTTATCTGATTAACAAAGACTTTTTTCCTCAGACCAGCAAATCAGTAAACATTCACAAGTGTCTTACTTATTTCTGTCAATTAAATCACTTTAACTCACTAAGCTCACTTTATTCTTTAGTTTTATTTCATGGGACTGTTGACAGTAAAATATGAACATTTGCCAGATTTTCAAACATATGCAAGCCACTGCTGAACCGAATGTTTCATATGTTCCATAATGTAGAGCTATTTTAAATGGCTGTCAGGTCCTGTTATAATCCATCCTGACTTGTCTGTAGGTGTGGTGACATGATTGTGGCAGTCAATGGCCTATCGACGGCAGGAATGAGCCACTCTGCACTGGTGCCATGCTGAAGGAGCGCGCAGCGGGTGGCGCTTACTGTGGTCTCCTGGCCTGGTAGCCTGGTATAGCTGGGCCAGATCATAAGCAAGCCTGTACACCACGCCGAGTCCACCCAGAATGTTCTATATTGGGAACAACCTTGGCCAAAGTGAACTGGTACACGCTATTGTACATCACTCCATACGGGCTTAATCCAGGACCAAAAGCATTCAGAACTGTAGTAGACTCAGCAGGACCAAGGCTGTCCTGACCAGGTGGGAACTGATCCAGATCGGCCACGTCACTCGACAGACTGCACTCAAATACACTGCTGAGATCATATGGTCATGTTGTCTTGGTACTGCAACTGTAACAGGCGATCTGTGCTATATTCACCTCACCAGCAGTTGTAGAATCCAGGGCTGTATTCAGTGGATGCATCGTTGCAGGTAGAGCTAGAATATATTTAAGAAAAAGACAAAAAAAGTAGAGATAATGACCTGTGATCACGCTAAATCAAGAATTTCTGCAACACCAGCGCTGTATCCAGCTGAATAAGCCTCAGGCCTTAGAAACCTGCCGCACCCTGGGGGCTCAACTGCCCTTAGGCCTCATCACCATGACAAACAGCTGTCCCATCACTGGAATTTTATACATGTGTGAATGTTGTTGTTTAATAAACATTCCTTCAGAGGATTAATGGCTCCATAGCGTGCTTTGGGAGTGGGAGTAATTTTAGGAACAGTCACAGCCAGAGAAAGATGCTAGTGTGGTGCGTGTTAGAGGCTTTAATTCACACTTGTAAAACAAAAGTATAAATCACAAAAAATATTAGTGATTTGTTTCACACACCATCCAAGCAGGTTTATACAATACAGTGCAGCCTCAAGATTTGTCATCTTTTAAAGTTGTTTTGTGCAGCTTTGCAGCTAGTTTGTCCGCTTGATTGCCTGCAGCTGCCAGTTCGACCTGCTGTGCCATACGCCAGGGCTGATTCTTTTTAGGACGCAGTTTCTGAAATGGGGACAGAACCCCACACACACACACACCACACACACACACACCATAACAGATACAAGGACAAGATGGAGAGAGAAGTGTCACATTTCCTGTGTAAGCAGGGGAGAAAAAAAATAACCACACAATCAAAAGGACACTTTACCTTCAGCTTTCTCTTTGCTGGTCATGCGCCACGCCATGTCTCCACAGGCTTTCCTGATTAACAATACCAGTTACCAGCTATACTGTATTAGCAATTTAACTTATCAGACATACACCACACTCCTAGTTGTCTGGTCATGTTAATGTGCTCTTGTTTTTGAAACATCTGCCACCAACCTAGTATTGAAGGTTACCAGAATTGAGTTTGTGCTGTAGAACACACTGAAAAAGGACATGATAAATTTCAACAGCACATCTTGCCAAGACTCATGTTCCGTTACTCAAGATAATCTAGACTTTATTCTGCAGTTTCCAAATTCTGTAGAAAGTAGTTCTAGATAAAACAGTAATCATACAGGAAGGTCTAGATTACTGTAGTAACTTGGTTGCTGCCAAGAAATGCAGCTATTTGTTTTGAAAGGTAGATCACATCCACTCTTCGCTTGTATTGGGGTTGCAACAAAATGTTAATCTGCAGTGTCACACCTTTAGCAGGAAAAACCCCAATCAGCATGGCTGGACACCCTAGTTTGAGACATTTGTGATTTGACCCAACATTTAAAACTCATTGACGCACAGATTTACCTTCATGGCAAAGCTCTTCCCACAGCCAGCATATGCACAGCTGAAGGGCTTCTTATTCTCATGGTCTGCCAGAATGTGACTCTCCAAATTGAAGCGACGAGTGAACTCCTTATCGCATCCTTTTCTGGGGCATGGCAGCTTCCTCTCTCCCCAGAGTGACACGCAGCTCATGCTGGGTGCAAAACCAAGCATTGTTAAACAGCTTTTTGCACTCTCCACACGCACCTTGACTGGGAGCAAAACCAGCCATTTGTGATTCAACGCTCACAACAAAAGAGTATGCAGTGCACAAACACTCATCCCAGCATTACATCCATACCTTTATGTTCTTTTCTGTGCTTCAGATATCTGTCCACGTCTTCCCTGAAAAGGACACTCTTCATCTCACAAGGGGTATCCTGCAGCAGAGACAGGGTTTTTTCCCCCCAGATTAAACACACCAATTAAAAGAATAATTCTCTGTTGTCAACACACCTCCATGCACTCTCTCATGATGCTTCAGTTTTCCATGAGTGGGAAATTCTCTTGTACAGCCACTGAAGGACAACTATATAGAGAAATTTAAAC